AACACTGCTGGGAGCTACAGCTGCTCCTGTGACACTGGATACACGCCCCCTGCTGGAGTCACTCTGACCAGCAGCTCAAACCCCTGTCAAGGTAAGATACTTTAAAGGCTCCAAGAAGGTGAGTGACTGTACTGTGAGCAAATATTTGCCTGCATGTTAAATAATTATTTTCTCAAGTTCTCAGCCAATCTATGGTCAGATCACTTAAACTCTGCACTAAACATTAAATCTGCATGTACTGTACAGTTTTTGAATTGGCAGATATTAGTCATTGGAAACATCCTAGCCAGAACAACCACAAGAATCAAAATATTTTTACTCTTGATATAGATAGATACTTCATTGATCCCATGAAGGAAATTGCAGTGCAACAGCAGCTTAACACAGACAACACGTCATGATATGTTAAAACAGATTGATTATCACATGAAATCAAATAAATGTCAATGTCACGGAGTTACTAATACAATCTAGAATTTCATTCTATGGAGTATTCTCTCAGTAAAGGCTATTATCTTGCACCTAGTGTTTTTGAGAAAGGCAGTACCTGAAACTAGCTAAACCAATGCACACTAATGCTGCTTAGGAATTTAGTTTAGGACAATAAGAGACTTGACTCTCTGCAGACACTGATGAGTGTGCAGTCAATCCCTCAATCTGTGGTCCAAATGCACAATGTACCAACACTGCTGGGAGCTACAGCTGCTCCTGTGACACTGGATACACGCCCCCTGCTGGAGTCACTCTGATCAACAGCACAAACCCCTGCCAAGGTGAGACTTGTTCCTTCCTAAAAGAACTGTGTTTCTCACAGATATTTAGTTGCCAGTAAGATAAAGTTGTATCTACAAGGTTTAGAGGGATGGTGACCATTTAAGTATTACCAAAAATAAAATATTTAGTAGTTTTATAGAATTTTAAATAATATGCCCTCCAATTTACCCATGATAAAATAGGAACAAAAAATGCCCGATAATAGAAGAATTAACAGATTGCACAATCTTTCTTGCTTAAAAAAATCTGAGACCGTAATACAGTAATCTTAACAGACTTGAGCAGCGAAAAGTCATATTTGTCAAAAATAAGTTTAAAAAATACAAATGACTTTTCACACACTGTAGATCGCATTTTTTAAATTCTTCTCTGGTAGGGATCATAGTGATTAGACACCTCCAGCTGTGGGCTGTGAGATACTAACATTTCAGAGAGGAAATATAGGAGCCGTGAAGAGTTGCTCTAAGTATTTCAATCCATTTCTTTCCATTAGTGAACAGATATCTTGATTTAAAACCACAAACGTTTGGATTAAGGTCTGGAGATTTTGACGGCCAGAGAAGAACATTTATTTTGTCTGCAGTGCTTGTGGGCTGTCAGCACACACAGGGACACTTCCTCTGTCTCACCAAAAGACCGGGTCCTGTGTCACCACAGTCTTGCACTGTCAACATTTTGGGGGGAAGGATGACATCACTTCTATAACTCGCTCAGTAGACTGAGCCCTGTTACCTACAGTATGCTCTGTAAAATACTATTATGATTACAGTATAACTTTATTAGATTTTGAGAGGCATTATCCAATCCCCAGCCTTTTCAGTTATATTATGCTTTTTCTTTGTATTTCATCAAATGAATGAATAAATCTGGAGAGCAATATAATTACAGATTCTAGCAGTGAAATGAATCTTTTCCAACATTTAACAAAGTGTCAAAATGAATAGTATTGCTCGTTCAATTAATCTTCTCATGTCAATCTGTTAGTTCTATAATGAAAGGAGAACTGACCTTAATTGATGTATCCATTCATTCATTCATTTCATAAAATTAATAATTACAGAAAACTAATGACAGAAAACAGGACAAGCAACATAATATTGACTCAGGATGAATGCAGTATTTATTCTGTGGATGTATATGGAGAAGAACAGTACCACATTTTGAAAGCATGTTCATCACCAGCATAGACTGGTGAAAGAGACTATTTGCATTTGATCTCTGACAGTAACCTCTAAAGTCATTCTTAATGTTCTTGCAGATATTGACGAGTGTACAGCCAATCCCTCAATCTGTGGCCCAAATGCAACATGTACCAACACTGCTGGGAGCTACAGCTGCTCCTGTGACACTGGATACACGCCCCCCGCTGGAGTCACTCTGACAAGCAGCTCAAAACCTTGTGGAGGTAAATATTAGATAAGATCACTATATTGGCCATATACAATTTCTTGTATTAGGAATTTGTCTTGTCTTTGCATACCCCAACTTGTTCTCCATGAGACACACAGACAGGGAGAGAAGCGTGGGGTCAGAGTGCAAGGTCAGCCATTTATACGGCGCCCCTGGAGCAGTTGGGGTTAAGGGCCTTGTTCAGGGGCCCAACAGAATAGGATTCCACTGTGGCAGATCCTTAGCTACAGAGCCACTTCTCGAAGTGTAAAGGCTTCGAGAAGAAAGAGACTGTATGTAATGTGGGCATACAGTATTCATCTACGTATTAAATCATTCATTATTTTCCCAATTTCTCAGACAATCTGAGGTCAAATTACCTGTATTTTGCACTTCAGCTGTTATTTTAATTTATACAGTAAATCTGCAGATTAATAAAGCTCTGTGAAATTGGCCCCCATACAGACATCACAAACGATGAAACCCACCTCATTCGTTAGTGCTACATTTGTGCCGGTTTGTGCCGTTGAAAGTAATTTCCCAGTTTCTTTCTTTCCCGAAATAAAGCGCCTTGTTTTTACGGGGTCGTGACGTCACTCAGCCCCGCTACAATGTCGTAGGGGAACTGGACCGGTCTCACTCGTTAGTGCTATGTTTGTGCCGGTTTGTGCCGTTGAGAGTAGCGTTTGTGCTGCTTTTGTTTCCACACTAATGGAAAAACAATCTCTCTGCAGATATTGACGAGTGTACAGCTGATCCCTCAATCTGCGGTCCAAATGCAACATGTACCAACACTGCTGGGAGCTACAGCTGCACCTGTGACACTGGATACAAGCCCCCTGCTGGAGTCACTCTGACCAGCAGCTTGAACCCCTGTGAAGGTAAGAATTGCTTCTTCATAAGTTAACTGTGCTTCTCCCATATATTTGGAGGCAAGTAAAAATTGATGGTTCTACAGATTCTTGGAGCGATCCTGACTAAAGGGAATTTGACAAAGGGTAAGACATGAACTGAACTGGTCAGTTAGCCTACTGCTGAAATTGAACACACCTGATATCTTAACATTGAAAGGAGGGCTGACCTTCATTGTTCCTGCATTTACTGGAAAGGGATGCTTGGCCAAGATGTCTTACTCCTTCTTAATTATAGAAAAATAGTACAAGCAACATACTGTTCTATTGATTCACATAATTTCATTGTTATTCTTTCTTTGGATGTAGAGAAGGTGGAAACATACAAACTCAAATATTTGGTACAAGATTGTATTTTATGTGTCAGGATATTTGTCATCACCAGAAGAAAGCTAAAAGAATATGTCAATAAAGCACACTAGGTCACCAAAGAAGCTGCATCAGACTAATTTAATTACCATAAGAAGAGTTACAAATCAGTAGAGGACATTCAGCCCAGCTTGGCCTTTTCGTCTGAACTTTTCCAATCATTTCTTCAAAGAGGACAGTGTATCTGTCACGCCTTCTGCAGCCACAGGGCACTCCTTCTCTGTCCTGTCCCTCATTTCCGTCTCTCTGCTGTCCTTTCGGTGTTTCTCTCTCTCTGGGGCTATATATTTCTGGGTATTTCACTCTGCCTTTGCTCAGCATAGACGTTCGGATGGCCTGAGACCCGCCTAGCACCAGGTCGCCCCACATCAGCTACCTGAGGGCATAGGTTTCTATACGACATTTCCTGAACAGCTGAGCCCGGGCTAACCCCCGTCTCGCCGCTACGCATAGGGTCTTTTCGCTCTCCTGTCATTCCACGGTCAGTCCCTTCCGACATCCATGACAGTATCAGATTCAACAACGTGGCAGGGTGGCCTGTTCCATACTCCCACAGTCCTTTGTGTAAAGAAGTCCATACTGTTTTCACTTTAAAATGAACATTAAAGTAGTTTGCACTTGTGTCCTCCAGTTTGTGTTTCAATATTCATTCTTGAAAAGACCAGTGGGTTGACTTTGCTGGTGTCTTTGCAGATTTTCAATACTTCAATTGAGTCTCCTTGTAATCTTCTCTGTTCAAGACCAGGGTTCCTACAACCTGTGCAGGACATTCCACTCAACACAGAACTGTCTATATGCTCTGCACTGATTCCAAAGCAGAAATACAGATTTGTGTAACCTAGTGACCAAACTTTTGCACTATATTCAAAACTATGTCTTATTAGTGCATTATATAATTTCCCCATAACATTCCTTGATATACATTCTATTATTTAAATATACATCCCATCACTGTTTGACTTGCTTTTTTGTTTCCCCATCTTACTAAAAATATATTATGAGTTAACTTTAACACCTAAGTCTTGTTCATACAGTTCAGTCTGTAACTAGATACCAGCTGGGAAGGAGAGAGTTACATTGAAAACCTCAAAGTTAGGGTGGCTAACAGGCCTGAGGAACTCAATAGAAGACTTTATTAAGATATTATTGATAGTACTAAGGTTTGTCCCAGATCCTGGACAGACAGAATGTGTAAGCAGTGTTAATTTCGGTTTTGATTAAGTTATAGTCTTACCTCGACTACAATGTCTAGTTTTAGCCACATTTTAGTCATGCAGTCTAGTAATATTTAGTAATATAAACTGTATTTAGTAATTTAGTAAGGTTTTAGTTTAATTCATTTTGTCTTTGGAATATTAAGGAAATTAAGTATAATGCTTTTTTAATTTACAATTCAGATTGTTCTAGTTGGGTAGCCCATATACTTATGTGGCAAATTTTACTTTCCAAGTTAAGCAAGGAAGTGCCTAAAACAGATTAGGAACTTAACTGTTACTCTAAGAAGACATAAGAATCATGAACTGCTTTACCTTCTGATACTGTAATGGCATACAGTACTTTCTCACCTCAGAGAGTGAAGTACAGGTCTAGACAGGACAGTGAGCGAGTCTTAAAGACCAGCCTGTGATCTCACCGCAGCTGAGGAATGGGTGACCTACAGTGTGAAAGAGGAAAAGAACAGCAAACCATCCCATTTGGGATGCCTGGATTTGGCAGTGGTAGTGGAGGGGGAGTTTGCTGTACGTGATCAACCAGGAGAGAGGAGTGCTGTTGATCCACAATCAGAAAAGAACAAACAGCATGGTGTAGTCGGAAGGGTGTCTTGAGATGAAGGAGAGATTGAGCAAGTATTATGGTGTGTTGTATGATGTATCTGGCGTTATAGTATCTATCCTGCCCCCAACGCATGTCAGCGATGGGAAGGTGAGCTAGAAAGAAGTCTGCTCAGCCCTACCCGGAAGGGGACTAATGTCAAAGAAGGAAGACCCCAGAAGGGCTTCACACTGAATGGTGCAACAAAGGCAGCCCACTTAAAACTGATACTGCTCACAGATGTCAGTGGCAGAGGTACTGGCAAGAGGCACTGGGATTCACTCAGAACCTACAGTTCAATGTAATATTCCACACTTTTCTATAATAACCATCATCTGCTAGGCTTCTGCTAGTTCATTTTCCTTTGTAGCTACTGAAATACTTGCTAAGCGTGCTATTTTTCCTATTTTTTCTTTATTTTCTTTCCACTTCACTAGTTACTACCCAGACCATTGATTTCAATACAAAAAATACATACATCCTAATACTCAACTACTGCATTGTATGAGCCCAATCAGAACATGCATCCTCTTATCTGTAGGAGGGCTTCAAACTCTAGTGCAATTATTATCCACCCTGTGATCACACTAATCTTTGCAAACATTAAGCAATTAGCATGGGAAATGTGACTAATTATAAGATTAAAATGTAATCATGGTGAATTATTATTGAGTGCTGGAATCAATAGCATTTGTTGCATTTTAATGCTTCTCTGTATATTTAAGTGCTGGTTAAAACTTAGCAACAATACATAAATATAACAAAATTTTATATATGAAAAAAATAATAATTCTGTGCTTTGTGTCTATAGACATTGATGAGTGTGTGTTCACATCCTCCATCTGTGGTCCAAATGCATTGTGTAGCAACACTATAGGGAGTTTTACCTGCTCTTGTGATACTGGATACGTCCCCCCTACTGGAGCCAAACTGCTGAGCATTATTAATCCATGTCAAGGTAAGAACTGTTTTTCCTATAACTGAGCTCCTATCATTATAGCACCACTACGTGACTGAATCCACAGTCTGCAAGATTTGCAAAGTCAAAACAATTGTAATAATGCAAGTAGAAAGGACAGTGGAATAGGCATTAATCAATTTACAGTCCTACCAACTGAAAACTCCTTTCCCCAAAAAGGTGGAAAGGCAATCCTAAAACCATAAGAAGAGTTACAAATGAGAGGAAGCCGTTTCCCATCTAGCTAAAGTCTGTGCTCTGTGGTACAACGTTCCACCTGATTGGACGTGTCAACATCATGCAGACCAGCTGACAAGACTGCGAAGGAACTCCATGACTCTCAAACACCACCACTTTCCTGCAGTGTCCATGGAGTCTGATCTTAACTCTTTGTTAACTTTTTAAACTAAGTGATCTTCAAGTTTGAACATAATCCTGCTCTAAATGTTTTGATGCTGGAGCTAACACTCTGGCAACATATAGAAAAACTTTAACATGAGGGCTAAGCAGTATCTTTCTAATTGCTGTGTTGTGTTTTTAATTCTTGATGAACAACTACCCGGTCATTTTTACTCTACTTTTTATAACTTGTCAACGGCATTGTTGTGGTTAGGAGGACTGGACATTTTTGTAGCAAAATACAGTCTCTTTTTAAGGTTAATCCAAGTAAAATGTTGTAGATGAAATCTAGGGTGATGACAAACTTAATTTCATACAGATATCAATCAGTGTAAAACAAACAACCAATCAACCTGTGGTCCAAACGCACAATGTATCTTCAATGACCAGAGCTACAACTGTTCCTGCGATACTGGATATATCCCCCCTACTGGAGCATTAGTGACAACCGATTTATTCCCATGTCAAGGTAAGAACTGCTTAAGGTTTTCATGACCTTCAGTGATTAGTGAAATAGAGTGGCTGTAAAATGTCTGTGAAGGAGGGAGACGCAAATTATTATATTGTTGATCATCTGAAAAAAATAAATGACTTGGTTCATCTCATGACAATCATGGCAAAATGCAGCAGAAAGATTCCATATATGACACAACACTTTTCAGGAAAGTGAAGCATGCATTTTGATAGAGAAGTTTGTTTCAGAGGCATTAAAATCTGGAAGAAATTCAGCTGCCAATTAAATATCTAGGAACCAGAAATAGATTTTTTAAATGAACATGAAAATATAAGAGTTTAGGTAACAAATGCACAACCCAGACAATGAATTTCATATTTGGAATAGCTGCAGTTATCTTTTTTATCTACCAGTGATTATTAGGAGCTAATTCTTCACACAAACATTAGATGGTCAGAAATCATAAGTATAAATTATTAGGAAAGGAGCAACCCAGCTGGAAGGCCAAGTCCAACAGGTTTCCTAAGTGATATTTAAATCATCAATTCTCTAAAAGCCTGGAAGAATTTAACTATGATCAGTAAAACAGATGACGTAAGAGATGATTTAGAGATTGTGTGGGACAAACATTTGAAATATACCTGAGCCATCCATGTCCAGTGTTCCCTTCATTGAAACATTCTTGCTTAATTGATCAATGTTTAATCTTTAAATAAGATAATTAAGGTTGAGCTACTGTATATGAGTAACTGGATTGGAGCTCTCCGGGACAAGGGCTGGAGACCCTTGCTTTAAAGGATTATTCTACACTACAGGATGTGCTCTATAGAGATGGTGCTCAAGGCTCATGTTAATAATGGAGTATCATCTCCCACAGAGTCCCTATGTGGATACAGGATTTTTTCTTCTGAATAAATATGACCCTAATTGCAAAGTCCTAGATATCTTTGTCCATTTTACTTAATTATTTGGATCTGTTTATTTTTCCTTAAAAAATGTTGATACGGAATCCATGGACCTGGATAGTGAATAAGGATTCCTGTATTTCCTTTTTTGAAGGTCTATCACCATAAGCTATGCATGGCATCTGGGGGCAGCAGCCTTAGCTGCACTCTTTTTTAGGCAGGATCTTGGTAAACACACACAACCACAGCTATAAGACAAATAAATTGCTCCTTTCAGAACAAAAACGTAGCTCTGGCTCAGCTCTTACTGTGAGTCTTACTCTTACCTTCTCTATAGGAAGCCATGTAGCTAAGATGCCTTCTGGCATAAAAACACGGAAAATATAAACACTTCCAGAAAAATGCTGTGTGGGACCCATGGGTTGTTCTCAAGAAAATCTTGTGTCTGAATTTGTTCTTCTCTCTCTCTTCCCCCTCTGCTGCAGCACATGAGAGAGGCTGTGTTAGCATCCAATATAGCAGAGGTCAACAACTACTGCTCTCAATGTCCTCCAACCAATTGTTTTCCTCTAATTAGTCATGTGACTAAAAAAAAAAAGACAGTCGGGTGGTTCACCGTTGCCTTCTGGGGAATGTGGCTCAAACACGAACCTCCATCTTGTCAGCAACCACTCCCATTTAACAAAAAACAAACCGTCTTTGAGATAGAAATTTAAAATTTGAGGTTACTGCAATAAGGAATTCATAGATGTATAAAAAGTAAACTACAGACTGCATGCATATTCATCAATAAATATTCAGGCACCCTGTGAACATTACCACATCAATATATAACTGCAAAGGATGTGCATCTAAACCTTTACAGTGCCTTGCGAAAGTATTCGGCCCCCTTGAACTTTTCAACCTTTTGCCACATTTCAGGCTTCAAACATAAAGATATAAATTTTTTATTTTATG